CCACCTCCCTTCTATCACTCCCTCCATCTTTTTTTCCTTCTGCCTTCCCTTCTCCTTCCATCCCGCCTTCCATCTCCCATCCTCCCTCCCTCCTTCCTTCTTTCCTTCCTTCCTCATCCCTTCCTTCTTCCATCCCTCCTTCCCTCCTCCTTCCATCTCCCCTTCCATCCTCCTTCCCTCCTTCCTTCCTCGTTCCTTCCTCCTTCCATCTCTCCTTCTTTCCTCTTCCCATCCCTTCCATCCCTCCCTCCTTCCATCTCTCCTTCCCTCCCTCCTTCCTTCCTCCTTCCTTCCTTCCTTCCTCCTTCCACTTCTCCTTCCATCCCCTTCCATTTCCCATTCTTCTTCCCTCCTTCCTTCCTTCCTTGTTCCTTCCTCCCTCCATCTCTCTTTCCTCTTCCCATCCCTTCCATCCCTTCCTCCTTCCCTCCCTCCTTCCCTTCCTCCTTCCTTCCTTCTTCCATTCCTCCTTCCCTCCTCCTTCCATCCCCCTTCCACCTCCCTTCTATCACTCCCTCCATCTTTTTTTCCTTCTGCCTTCCCTTCTCCTTCCATCCCGCCTTCCATCTCCCATCCTCCCTCCCTCCTTCCTTCTTTCCTTCCTTCCTCATCCCTTCCTTCTTCCATCCCTCCTTCCCTCCTCCTTCCATCTCCCCTTCCATCCTCCTTCCCTCCTTCCTTCCTCGTTCCTTCCTCCTTCCATCTCTCCTTCTTTCCTCTTCCCATCCCTTCCATCCCTGGAAGGAGGGATGGAAAGAGAGGAGGATGGTGGGATGGAAGGAGGGGTGGAAAGTGGGATGGAAGGAGGGATGGAAGAAGTGGAAGGAGGGATGGAAAGAGAGGAGGATGGTGGGATGGAAGGAGGGGTGGAAAGTGGGATGGAAGGAGGGATGGAAGAAGTGGAAGGAGGGATGGAAAGAGAGGAGGATGGTGGGATGGAAGGAGGGGTGGAAAGTGGGATGGAAGGAGGGATGGAAGAAGTGGAAGGAGGGATGGAAAGAGAGGAGGATGGTGGGATGGAAGGAGGGGTGGAAAGTGGGATGGAAGGAGGGATGGAAGAAGTGGAAGGAGGGATGGAAAGAGAGGAGGATGGTGGGATGGAAGGAGGGGTGGAAAGTGGGATGGAAGGAGGGATGGAAGAAGTGGAAGGAGGGATGGAAAGAGAGGAGGATGGTGGGATGGAAGGAGGGGTGGAAAGTGGGATGGAAGGAGGGATGGAAGAAGTGGAAGGAGGGATGGAAAGAGAGGAGGATGGTGGGATGGAAGGAGGGGTGGAAAGTGGGATGGAAGGAGGGATGGAAGAAGTGGAAGGAGGGATGGAAAGAGAGGAGGATGGTGGGATGGAAGGAGGGGTGGAAAGTGGGATGGAAGGAGGGATGGAAGAAGTGGAAGGAGGGATGGAAAGAGAGGAGGATGGTGGGATGGAAGGAGGGGTGGAAGGAGGGATGGAAGGAGAGGAGGATGGTGGGATGGAAGGAGGGATGGAAGGGGAGATGGAAGGAGGGATGGATGGAGGGGTGGAAGGTGGGATGGAAGGAGAGGTGAAGAAGGATGGAAAGAGAGATGGAGATGTGGAAAGAGAGGTGGAAGGATGGAAGGAGGAGGGGTGGAAGGAGGGATAGCAGGAGGAAGGAAAGAGAGGGAGGGATGGAAGATGGAAGAAGGGTGGAAGGAGAGATGAAGGAGGGAGGATGGAAGGAGGGATGGAAGGAGGGTTGTAACAATGGGGGAAGGGGAGATGGAAGGGGGATGAAAAGGGGATGGAAGGAGGGGTGGGAGGAGAGGTGAAGAACGGTGGAAAGAGGAAGGAAGGAGGGGTGGAAGGAGGGATGGAAGAAGTGGAAGGAGGGATGGAACGAGAGGTGAAGAAGGATGGAGAGATCGAGATGTGGAAAGAGGTGAAAGGATGGAAGGAGATGGAAGGAGGAAGGGTGGAAGAAGGAGGGAAGGAGGGCAGGAGGATGGAAGGAGAAAGGTAGGAGGGATGGAATGAGTGGAGCAAGGTGGGATGGAAGGAGGGGTGGAAGGAGGGATGGAAGGAGAAGTGGAAGGAGAAATGAAGGAGAGGTGAAGAAGGATGGAAAGAGAAAGTAAGGAGGGATGGGAGCGGTGAAGAAGGATGAAAGGAGAGATGGGAGATATGGAAAGAGAGGTGGAAGAAAGGATGGAAGGAGGAGGGAAGGAGGGATAGAAGGAGGAAAGAAAGAGGAAGGAAGGGAGGGAGGGAAGAAGGGTGGAAGGAGAGATGGAAGAAGGGAGGATAGAAGGAGGGATGGAAGGAGGGAGGATGGAAGGGGAGATGGAAGGAGGATGGAAAGGGGATAGAAGGAGGAATGGAAGGAGAGGTGAAGAAGGATGGAAGGAGGAAGGAAGGAGAGATGGAGATATGGAAAGAGGAAGGAAAGAGAATGGAAGGAGGGATGGAAGGAGGGACGGAAGGAGAGGTGGAAGGAGGGGGGAAGGAGGGATAGAGGGAGGAAGGAAAGATGAAGGATGGAGGGAGAGAGTGAGGAAGGGTGGAAGCAGAGATGGAAGGAGGAAGGAAGGAGAATGGAAGGAGGGATGGAAGGAGGGATGGAAGGAAAGAAGGAAGAAGAGGTGAAGAAGGATGGAAGGAGAATGGAAGGAGGGATGGAAGGAG